GTCAGAAGTGATGACACGATATTGAAAGCTTCTTCGCATATCAGTTTCTTTCAATTCATCGACCACCTGACGCTTTCCTCCAAATGTGTGGCCAACCACGAATCCAGAGTCAGGAGTCGAGATTGGTATAGGAGGGAGGTCAGGATCGTCGTTGTGAGCATATAGAGGATGTTGTGGCACCATCGTGTAGTGAGGTGTGGGGGGCTCAAATTCCCCCTCATCAACTTCCAGATCTTCACCATCTGAACTACTCATTGATTCTAACTCTTCATCTTCCACGTCGCTTGCCTTGCTAGTGTACGGAGGACTTGGTTTATCCACATACGGATCATTGTTGATGCCAGATGCTGGTGTAGATGTTTGTCTGGGTGACTGTCTGGGTGCCCTTATGTAATCCCATTCTTCACCCCATACTGGCCACTCTTGTCCGTCATGTTCCACCAATGGACCAGTTGCAGTTCGATCCTCGTATGTTGGCCATGGTGCATCATGCATGACTCTGAAATCTTCTGAACCGGAAAATCCTCCCGATCCTTCACCTTGTTCGGTATAACCGACGCCACCATATTGGCCAAAAACTTCTGTCTCGACATACACCTCAGCAGTTGGAAATCTGTTCTCTGCAATAAATCTCACCATCATATTAATGTCATCATCGTCAGACAAAACTGATCCTTCATATACAAGTGCATAATCCTTGTAAACCGGCATACGGTAAGTCATCTTGCATACTCTTCGCCCTCCTATGCAACATTGTTCCGCACAAATATGACTGAGTTCTTGCCAAGTAAATATGCTCTCAATCCGGACAATACTTGATTCACCATCTTCGTAGTCAATACTATAATGAAAATGTGTAATTCGACCATTCCACCGAATCTTTAAGTCGAATTTTCGAAATTTTCTACCAATTTCTACAGTTTATAGAAGCAGCTCATTACATACAGTACAAACAATACTAAATTAATCCAAAATTCTAATATGCTCATTCAAACAACGTTAAGCAAAACTTACCTCCAAAATTTTTCTTCTTTGCTCAACTATGGTGCTCGAGCAGCTGTAGTTTGTGTTTGGAAGAAAGAAGATAGAAAAGAAGAGAGCTGCCAGAATGTGCTAAGTGATGGCTTTTATCCTCGTATATTGATGAGGTGGTTCGAGTCCAAAAAAATCGAACTACACTAGTTCGAGTCCATAAAACTCGATCTAGTGAAACCAATAATTTTACCCCTGCACCCTATTCTGGAGCATGTCGGACCAAAAGCGACTTGACAGAATGATTGAGCAGTAGTTCGAGTTCAGTGTAATCGAACTACACTAGTTCGAGTACCTAAAACTCGATCTATGACAACCAAGAATCTTATCCCTGCAACCCTATTCTGAAGCATGTCGGTGGACCAGTGGTTCGAGCCCATTGGAATCGATTTATGTTGTTCGAGTCTTAAGGCATCGATCTTGTGCAGATATAGATCGAGTGCCTTAAAGTCGTTGTACTACATCGAGTTTTCTGGCATCAATCTAACTGGATCGAGTTGTCTATACTCGATCTACTATGATCGAGTCCTTTGTCATCGATCTACTTTGATCGATTTCTCCGAAACCAAACTAATGTTGATCGAGTTTTAGGAACTCGATCTTATTTTAGTTCGAGTTCTTCATCGTTGAACTGAAGAGTAGTTCGAGTTTATGGGACTCGAACCCTTTGAAATTCGGATAGTTTGGGAAAATTTTATAAAATATATGTATTCCGGGAATTATATGTTTAATTGTTACTGTATTCTGGGAATTCTTCCAGCATTCAATGGCTCAACAGATTCATAAAGAAAAACACGGTTGCGACAGTCACCACTACCCTCTTCATCGTATTCCTAATAGAGAACATCACTGGACTGATATCATCGAGCGCCTGGTAGGACGAAATCTAAAATCTAATTTATTTTACTTGTTAACAAGTTATGTAGTTCTACCTTATTTTTATAAGATTTATGTAGTTCTACCTAACTATGAATTATAGGGGTGGCTCTACGGTCCGGTCTGGTTAAATTGGCCCAAATTGATCCTGTCCCAGTCTGGACTTTTTGAGAATATAAGGACCGAAAAATGGATTGGATACAGTCCGGTCTTGAACCGGTCCGTTCCTATTTCGGTCTTGATTTTAGGTTGAGATTGTGGGGATTTGAGTGGCCCGAGGGGGGATTTGAGTGGCCTAAGGCCTGGAAGGGCGAGGATGTTAAATTTTAGGTGTTTGGGCTCTCTTATCCGGTCTTTATCCAGTTTTCGATCCGGTACCAAACAATTTCCTACCTCAAATCTAGGACCGAAGATTGGATTAGATTGTTTGATATCCAGTTCCAATATGATCTCGGTCTGAGTTATATTGTCCGGTTTCGAGTAAAACCATAAAATTCAAACCAAATAGCCGGCTAATGAATTATATCCCTACCCGGCCCACTAAGATAGCCATGAAAAATGGTATGTTCACATTGCATTTAGTCCATCACGTTGCTTCTTTATTAGAGATGCAAATGTATGGGATTGGGTTGGGTTTCTCTAAAGCCAAACCCAGTCCAATGAGTGCACCTATTGATAATACACGACAAACTACTAATTGAGTTTTTAAGTGAAAACTCAACTTAATTCAACGGATACTCATGAATATATGAATACTCATGGATTCAGGAATACTAATCAGTGGGTCCTAGAATTCACCCTAGTTCAGGAGATAATATGGTAAATTAGGTATAATGATTAATCGAATATAAAAAATAATAAGAATGATTGATCTTTCAAATATTTTATGTATGATTTTTTTTATGTATAATTTATATGTTGTGTATTGGCATATTTAATATTTTTATAGTGAGTATGTACAAATAATAATAGTGTATAAGATCCGCTCAAATTAAAGATGTACTTATTCAATATCTATAACAAATTTCCACCAAATCATAGCTAATTTGTAAAAATATTTTTATTTCAATAAAGGATATGGAGAGTGTAACATGTGGATCCAAATGATGAAAATGAGTAAATTAATTTAATAGTTAATTGAGAATGAAATTTAGGACACTTCTAATTGAGAATGGTTGATCAAGAGATAATGTGTTCAAATCTCAAGGAAACTATTTGTAAAGCACATGATATTCGAATTTGTGATAACTTTAAGTACGTATAAGTTGGTTTTGGTTAGCAGGGAAGTGTTAGTAAATACTAAATGCTATAAGATTTATTATTAAATCTTTCTCAACAACTCAAGGTATTGATAATAAACGATCTTGACAAAGAACACCATTCAAAAGCAAATGTCTAACTAAATCAGAATAATTGTTTGGTACATTTCTTGATAGTTTCGACATATATTTAATTTACCAAGTTTATGTAAATACAAAATTATATAAAAAACTAACAAACTATTTTTTTTGTATATTTTTTTTCTAAATGGCCCATTCTCGACAAAATCATGGCTACGTCACTGAATCTAATCATACATTATTTCTTCGAACACCCATATCATAATGTTATCCAAAGCAATTTGATAAATATATTTCTATAAAGACAACTATCATCCATAAATTATCCATATTATTAGATATATATTATCATGAAGAATAAAATATACATAAATCATTCATAATGTTCTGGTTTAAATGATATCGTTTTGCATTATGAGTGTGGGTTGGGTGGAAATCGAGTTGGATTTTGATAAAACTCAAACTTAACTCAACTCGCCCATTTCAAAGCGAGTAAAATTGGCATCTTACCTAAAATCAATCAACTTTGGATTCTATCCACTTTGATTAAGTTGATTTCGGTTGGGTAGCTCTTCGTTTAGTTTCAGGGGGAGACACTAATATACAAGGGTCACTTCGCTTATATTTTCGATTTGGTATTTGGATTGTCTCATAGCAATCCTCCCCTCAAGACAAGGACCACGAACATCGTGTCCTCCCCTCCCTCAACAATTATCTTGATCCGCCAAGCAAACGTGGATCTCTCATGGATCCACCAAACAGACGCATATTTCAAATACCGAGGTTACAAAACGAGGGTCCACCGAACTAATGTCCACCACCCCCAAATCAAAACCGAACTAGACTCTATACACCTTGTCGTGACTGGGTAGCTCAATTAGTACGATATTTTCCACTTTGGGCAAAGGGCACATAGATTTACTTTTGGGTATCCTCCCCAAAAGGGCTCGTACTAATGAGTTTGGTGGACAATTATATACAAGACTCTCTTCCCTTGTATTACCAATGTGGTACTTGGATTGTCCCATAACCCTCAAGAAATGAATGTAGGTTAGATGAAAATTGAGTTGGATTTTAATAAAACGCAAACCAAACTCAACTCGCCAATTTCAAAGCGAGTAATATTAGCATCTTACCAATCTTTTTCTATGAAGCGCCATCTTTTTTTTTTAATTTTGGGTTAATATATTTGTATGGCCCGAACTTTTCACAAATTAAACATCCTAACCAATCTTTTCGATCTATAATATCGTGGCCTCAACTATGCATCAAAGTTACGAAATCTGCCAAACCCGATATTTGACCGTTATCTAAGACGGTCAAACGCGTTGACTAATGGTCAATGCATCACGTCACTGCCAAGTCAGCACAAGCCACTTATAATATTTGTTTTTTTTCACTATTACTATTTATCTTTGTAAAATTTAAGGAAGCTAATAAGAAGACAAGACAAGATTTATGTGGTTTCCCACGATGATCGGGACTAGTCCACGAGAGAGCTCAACTCTCCGGCTGATTTCTTATTGATCAACTCTTGATTGTGGCCGGCGGCCGTACATCAACTTTTATATCCTTACTACTATCAAAGAGGACATAACAATTAGCGCAAGCAAAAGAGACTTGTGCATGGGAAACAATGGGCTTTGGTTCTATCGCATCTTGCTTTGTCTCAGCTGAGCCCATTACGGGCGTGAGGGAAGTGGGCTGCTGGTCCGCGTCCACGTCCGCCAATACTCCCCCGCAAGTTGGAGCGTGAAGATCACGAACGTGCAACTTGGACAAGAGGAAGTGGAATCGTTCACCATCCAAACCTTTAGTGAACATATCAACTACTTGCAAATGAGAACTGATCTTCATAGGAGTAATCTCACCGGATTGAACACGTTCCCGAACATAATAGCAGTCCATCTCGACATGCTTGGTGCGCTCATGAAACACCGGATTAGCAGTAATATGGAGAGCAACTTGATTGTCACAATGAAGAGGAGTAGGGCCACGAGAATGGACACCAAGTTCCTACAGAAGCCAGCGCAACCAAAGCACCTCACTAATCGTGCTTGCCATGGCACGATACTCGGCCTCGACGGTAGAGCGTGCCACCACCTGCTGCTTCGTAGTCTGTCAAGAGATGGGTACACCACCGAGAGTAATAACATAGCCGGTGGTGGACCGCCGAGTGGATTGACAACCACCCCAATTGGCATCACAATTAGCAACAAGATCAAGAGAACTCATAGCATGAAAAAACAGTCCCTGACCGGGAGCAACCTTGAGATATCGGAGAATCCTGTTACCGACGTCCATATGAGCCTGTGTGGGAGCTTGAACAAACTGACTGAGAATATGAACAACATACGTGATGTCAGGCCGAGTAATGGTCAGATAGAGAAGACGACCAACCAACCGGCGATATGTTGCAGGATTAGGATGATCTGCGGGGGCAGGCTGAGTATGATGGTGGTTCTGCTCAACTGGGAATGCACTCAGACGACTATCCATGACCCCAGAATCATGGAGAATATCCAGTGTATACTTTCATAGACTGAGAACCATGCCCTCGGGAGAACGGGCAACCTCAATGCCCAAGAAATAACGCAAATCACCTAAATCCTTGTTGTGAACCACGAGTGAAGAAACTTCTTAACATGGGAGATAAAATCAAGATCATTCCCTGCAAGTACGACGTCATCAACGTAAATAAGGGCAACCACATGGGTACTCCCCCGGCGAAAAACAAACATAGAGTGATCTGCGGGTGAAGGACGAAACTGCAATTCGCATAGGGCAGCTGTGAACTTTTGATACCAGTTTCGTGAAGCATGTTTAAGACCATAGATAGACTTATGAAGGCAACAAACCCGAGTATCCCCAGGAGCAGTAAAGCCTTTTGGAATTCGCATATAAATTCTTCATCCAAATCACCGTGAAGAAAATCGTTGTTGACATCCAGCTGATGAATGTACCATCCTTTGCTGGCGGCAATAGCAAGTAAACAGCGAACCGTGACAAGTTTTGCAACCGGAGCAAAAGTATCATGAAAATCTACCCCTTATATCTGAGTATAACCTTTGGAGACTAACCGAGCCTTGTAGTGTTCCACGGTGCCATCGGGATTAAACTTAATTTTGTAGAGCCACTTTGCACCGATCACACGCTTGCCCGGTGGTAACTCGACAAGAGTCCATGTGCCATTTTTCTTGAGAGCCACGAATTTGGCTACATTGGTACGACACCACATGTAAGAACTCCTCACAAAAGGTGCGAGGCTCTGGATTATGGCAACGGCAGCAAGAAATGCACAATAAGATGGAGAAAACCTGTCATAAGCAAGATGGTCGGACATGGGATAGCGTGTCGATTGAGCTGCACGACTAGTGTAATAACCTTATAGTTGCTTCAGGGGAACTCGATTCCTATCACTTCGTCGTAGATGCGGCGAGGAAGGAGAGAGACTCGAACCAGCAGATGAGGAGCCCGGGCTGGAGTTAGTAGAGGATGAAGCGGCTGGGGAGTCCATACGAGCAGGGGAGCTGCTCGACTGTGAAGAGGAACACGGGCCGGGAGATACACCAGGCCCACTAGACAGGCGGCCTAAAGGAAAGGGCCGAGAAGGCCCAGAAGCAGAAGGTCCTGCAGCGAGGTCAGCTGAACCATTCGCTAGCGGAGGAAAAGCTGGAGCTGGGTCAGCCATGATCAACTCATCGTCCGAATCATCAACTTGCCGGCGAATCTCACTGCCGGGAACCCAAGGAAACTCATGTGAGGTTTCAGGATGAAAAGGAAAAACATACTCATGAAATATAACATCACGACTTGTGATAATTTGTTTGCTTTCCAAATCATAGACGCGATATCCCTTCTAGCTAGCTGCATATCCCATAAAAACACTTGCACGTCCACGTTCGACAAATTATCAAGATGAGAATGTGTATCTTTGCTGTACACAAGGCACCCAAAAGCACATAAATGAGAATAATTGGCCGGCTTACCAAAGAGGACTTCATAGGGGGTTCGGTCTGTAGCAACAGTCGGCAGTCAATTGAGTAAATATGCTAGAGTAAGTATGCACTCACCCCAAAACCGTATAGGGAGGAACGCTTGAAATCGTAGCGCGCGCCGTCTCAAGGAGATGGCGATGTTTGCGCTCGACCACGCCGTTCTGCTGTGGCGTATCTATGCAAGAGCCAAGAAGTCTATAAAAGAATACCCTCCTTCTCATAGAAATAACGTAGAACCATAGTCCCAAACTCTGTACCATTATCAGCCTGAATTTTCTTCACCTGTTTACCAAACTGAGTGTGAACAAGATTGCAGAAAAGCTGAATATATCTCCCAACGTCTGACTTGAATTTAATAAGATAAACCCAAATATCACAACTAAAATCATCAACAATCGTCAAAAAATAATGTGCACCAGCACCACTGTAAGACGGAGTACTATAGTCTCCCCAAATTTCCATGTGCAACATCTCAAACCAAGAAACAAGAAGTAGTTCGAATCCCACTGACAGGAAAACTAGCCCTAACTTGCTTAGCCCGTGAGCAAGGATGACAAATGCTAGGAATCGAAGTTGTGGAACCAGGAAAACTTTCGTAAAGCTTGGTCATAAAGACCATCGAGGGGTGATCCAAGCGCGCGTGCCAAGGAAGTGCAAAAATCTTCTCGACAACATGTACTCGAGCTCCATGACAGCCAAATAACCGCAAGAAATATAGTCCATCATGAATCTCCCCTTTCCCAATCACGTTCTTGGAGTGTAAGTCCTGTATAATACAAAAATCATCGAGGAATATTAGAGCAACATGATGCTCTTGACATAGTCGGCTAACTGATAATAAATTGCAGCAAAATTCCGGAACATGGAGAACTCGACCCAGAGTCATCCCATCACTCAATCGAACCGAGCCAATGCATATAACCAGAATGCTAGCTCCATTCGGAATACGAACGGGCTGAGTAGATATATCTGAATGATGCTAAGTAAGAAGATCGCCATCCATAGTTATGTGTTCATTACACCCTAAATCAATGAGCCACTCACACTGATCAGAAAAAGAGAACGTAGCAGCCATGTGACTAGAGGGATTCGTGGCTGCCAAGAACTGACCACCGAAGAACTTTTTTAACTGCTCAAGTTGTTGTACGCTGAACCCATAAACATGACTCGATTCCTGCTCAACCTGCGAGGGCCGTGGCTCACGACTACGACCACGGACAGCACCACCATAGCGTCCTGCATCACATCCCGAGTCGCGAGGTTTGTGTCTATTCTGGTCGTCTCCTTGTTTATCCCGTGAAGGATATCCAGTGAGTTGATAACAAGTTTCCCGTAAATGCCTAGATTTGAGACAATGGGTGCAAATACAGGTATCTTTGTCTGCTGGCCCTCGTTCACGCCCAGTGCGCATGCTAGATGTGCCGTGATCAGCCTCCCTTTGGGTCGCAAAAGCAGCTGCTTCAGGAAGAGGTTTTCGATTCTGAGTAAGCGTTCTCTGTTGCTCATCATTGTAAACGATTCTGAACGCCTCGGGCAGATTTGGAGGAACCAACATTGATAAAATATGGCTACGAACCATGACAAAGGATTCGTCTAGCCCTAACAAGAAATCAAATAGCCTCAAGTTTTCATTCTGATCACGGCATTGACGTCCGCACGAACAGACAGGAGGAGGGAGAATAGATTGAGTTTCCTCCCACACTTTGCACAGCTTCGTGTAGAAAGCCGATAAATATTGTTTTTCTTGTTGCAGAAAACTCACATGACGACGTAGTTCATAAGCATGCGTCAGATTACCTTTGCTAAAACGATCCCGAAGATCCTCCCAGATTTCTTGTGCCGTCTTAGCATGCATAACACTACTTCTCAATTCAGCATCCATCACCGTGCATAGCTAACCCTTGACCAAGGCATCGCATCCAAGCTAGAGATTGTGGCCCGCTACCCTGTGGACGAGGGATGGAACCATCAATATATCCCAATTTGTTCTTGGCGACGAGAGCATTAGTCATCTCAAGAACCCACTCCCCATAATTCGTTGGCGTCAATACGCTACTAAGGTGTATTTGCCCTGTAGAATCCGAATTGGGAATGAAAAAAGGGCTATGAACATCAAGCTCCTTGTCGCCACCAGAAGCAGATCTAGAATTGATTGATTTGCCCGAGTTCGGCGACTCAAGGGTAGAATCTGTTCCCGTCATAACGTAATCCCTAATGGATCAAAGCTCTGATACCATGTAAAATTTGCGGAAGCTAATAAGAAGACAAGACAACATTTATGTGGTTTCCTCCATGATCGGGACTAGTCCACGGGAGAGCTCAACTCTCCGGCTGATATCTTATTGATCAACTCTAGATTGTGGCCGGCGGCCTTACATAAGCTTTTATATCCTTGCTACTATCAACGAGGACATAACAATTAGGGCAAGCAAAAAAGACGTGTGTATGAAAAGCAATGGGCTTAAGTTCTATCCCACCAAGCTTTGTCTCGGATGAGCCCATTACCCGCGTGAGGGAAGTGGGTTGTAGGTCCACGTCCACGTCTGCCAATAATCTTTTTCAAAATAAAAATAGGCATTCCTTTTTTTCTTCTTTTATTTAAAATAAAAAAGATAAATGATAATAAGTGGGAAAAAAACCAAAAAATTTAAGTGGTTTGTGTCAACATGGCAGTGATGTGGCACATTGATCATTAGTCAACACGTTTGACCGTCCAAGTTAACAGTAAAATCTCGAGTTTGGCCAATTTCGTAACTTTGATGAATAGTTGAGGTCGCGATGTTATAGATCGAAAAGAATATTGACCATGATGTTTAATTTATGAAAAGTTCGGGCCATACAAATATATTAACCATTTTAATTTCCGGCAAGAGATGAGATTAGATGTTTGATATAATTAAACAAAAACTCGACCTACTTATAAGAATTGTAATTCATCAAGTAGGAATTTTGCAATGCTTTATAATATTGGTGCTTTAGTTTTTTTTTGTTTTTATGGCACCTTTATATTTTTTAGTTTAAATTAATTTCTTTATAATACAAATTAAATTTATATCTTTATATTATGGTGCAATTTGAAGTTGTACCATAATATAAAAATACACATTTCCTTATAATATACAACTTCAATTTATACTTTTAACGTTACGATACAACTTCAAGTTGTACACCAATAGTTTAAGGGTAATGTCTATTTTTTATCCAATTTTTTTCAGATTCTTTTATATTATCCAAACCTATTAAAATGTAATTAGTTAGCCAAATCTTTCGTAATGAATCAAAATATTAGTCATTTTTACGTCATCGTTAATCATTTTGTAACTTATTTATTAGTTAAAATACTATAATTTTGGAATGTTGACTTTCATGTGTCTCTTCCTGGTCTGTATCATGTTGTCAAGTCAATATTACTAATAAAATTGCTAACTCAAAATTAACATTTGACAAATTCTTAGTATTTCGATAAATTTAAATAATATAAAATAATCTGAAAAGATTTGGATAACATTATCCTTTAAACTATTCGTTAAGACAACATAGAAAGACTGATCTCCTTATAACTAGATAAAGACTCGATTAACTTATATACTAATTATTCAGCAGGACAAACGACTCTCGTATAGACTTATATATGGATGGTTATTTATTTATTTATTTATAATCACTCTCTCTTTATAGTTAAACAAAGACTCTCCAATCTCTTTATTGTTAAACAAAGACACTCGATGACACTTTTCTCAACCCCAACTAGAGACACCATAGAAACAGACAAGTTTCTAAAGACAATTAAGCCTAAGAATAAATAATTCAAACTTGACTCCGAGCAAATGAAATTGCCAGGAAACTTATTTAGACAGTGTAAATAACTAAATATTAGTTTAAGTCAAGCTGCGGTTGGTGGGAGATGGTAACCTTAATTGATATGGCACCCAAACACAAACCATGTATATATCACCACATCTCAATCCTCATATATCTACCTATCCCTCCTGCTATAGCTAGCAAATATCCTGACTCCACCTACCAGTGGCACACCCAGGAATTTTGAGTAGGGGTGTCCGCTTTCAAAATAAAATTAAAAATAAAATAAAATAATTCTTAAATAATAAAAGTATCCGAATAATATTCAACAACACAAATATTTGGTTAATACAAGTTACAACAAATTTCCACGTCGTGTTTTCATATTCTGAAAATATTCTAAAATACACTCCGTGTCTACAGTATTCAGCAAATCTCTTTCAATATATCCTACGAGACAATCATTCACAAACTGATCGCCTAGTCGATTCCAAAGCTTGTTCTTGATGTAACTCAAAGCTGAAAAAGCTCTTTCAACACTTGCAGTTGCAACCGGTAAAGTCAATACAACTTTGAGAAGCAAATATACCTATGGATATGATAGATTCACTTTTGTCTTCACCATCAGCTGACACAATTCATCAATTCCTTTTAATCCATGGAATAACTCATCATTCTTCACAAAATGATAGTAATTCTCAAAGTCCCTTAGAAGAAAAGAGTCAGAAAGATGACCAAACTCTGTAGGATAAAATCGAGTAAGACTAACCAGCTTCTCCCTGTCAAAAGCAGCAAACTCATTCTCCGGGCTAAGAAAAGCCATACAAGTCAACAACCTAGTATTCACCTCATCAAAACGATTGTTCAACTCTTGCAGCTGCATATCAAGAAC